ACTGCTGGTTAGTAACTGCAGTGTTTTTCTCTGGACACAGTTTAAGCTCATGGCAGTTAGCACTCTCTCATAGGCTCAGTTCAGGGATGGTATGTGCTAGACAACTCCTTCCAACAGGCAAAATAGGTGAGGCCATTCTGCATAGGAAACTAGAGTCCATAGTGGACTTAGCTCTGTGGACATCATCATGCCAATCCATTTGTCCTTTGAGTCACAGGTTGAGCCCTTGGTCCTTTTATTCACAGGTGTAGTTTCTACTAACAGAGGGAGATAGACACCTACCTCCAGGACCAAAAAGAGTGTTCAGCAAGGATGAGATCTTTGTTTTAGCCAGAGAAAGCTCGTCTGTCCAGACTTCTCAAATAGCAGAGTATAGAAAGAGTAGCCAACTGAACATGGCCATTTGACAATAGGCCAATTAATTTTTTCCCCCTCCAGATTGTTTTCCCACTTATTTTCAGTCTGATGTTTTAAGAGATCTAGGAAAGGTGCCACTGTCAGGTGAAAAGGGTTGTGGATGAAAAAAGGAGCAGCAACCCAGGACTGTCCATGCTTCCTGCAGAAGGGAAGGCTGATGACAAAGTAAATGGTTGTCAAGAAGAGAAAAAAAAAAAATGAAGGTAACTAGGCAACTCTTTCCTCATTTAGAGGTGCTTGACAGTTTTTGATTGAATCCTACTGATTTCTGAATTAAAGGAAAAAAAATTAATTATTCATACTGTTTAATATGTTTCTTTTTCATTTTGAGTTGCACATGTCACATTGGGTCAAATTCACATGACATTTGATATCACAATGTTGTTTAAAATTTTCTTTAATATGAGTTGGCTCATTAAATTGTCTTAGAAGGTTTTTATATTTCTCCTAGGATATACAACTATGTTTATTAAGCCTAACTGCAATAAACTTTATGTCAGTAGCCATATCATTGACTGTGATAGCCATATTGATTGTGCTATTGAATTTCACAAGTTAATGTTAAAACTATTTCTTTAATCTGTGTTTTCTATTTTTGTTCTCCTTTAAATTCTTTCTTTTTATTTTATCATCAAAAATTATTTGAGATATGTAATTTCCCTGAATCATATTGCTTATTTAATTTTTTTCTTAATGTAACAAAAATAATACAGTCTTTTATACAATTAAGGAACAAAAAACCACCGTACCTAAAGGAGACATGATGGTAAAAGTAAGGGAAAAAGCAGAATCAAACATGGGCACATATATTTCACTCACAAATCTTCTTTTCCTGAAAAAATGAAAGATATTAGAAGTCCTTTGTGTTTTACAACAAATCAGAAAACACCAGGCATTTGAGGAAAAAAAAGAATTTGCAAGACTCCTCTGAACAGAATACCATGTCTTTGGTATTCTCTACAAAGACTAGATGTCTTTGTATATACTAAAGGAAGATTTGAAACATTTTTTTCATTAGTCTGGCACTGGATTTAAAATTTGATAATGTATTCCTTGAATCAACTTTTGCTGAGGATGGCAAAAATGTGAGTTTTGGAGTGCATTTTCCGCTAATCCAGCTACTTAAGTTTGCACAGCTGGGAGACTTCTATTTTTTCCTGCAGCCTTTTCTCCCTCCTCCCCCATTCTGACTTGTTATTGTTTGAAATTCTGAGAATGTTTTACACACATTTCCAGTGTACAACATTTGGACACTGATAAACGAATGACAAGTATGATATAAAGCCCCATGGAAGGCCCTGAAGGGTCTACCCAGGGAGAAGAACACATCTGTCTCCAGCTGTGCAGTTATTTAGGAGTGAAATGACTTGTCCTGGGTTGGGCAGAGATAGTAATTATTTTTTTTTGTTGATGTGAAGATCAAAGGTTATTCTCAGGAAGTCAGGACAAGGACTGTGGTATTTAGCAGGAGAGATTTATCCAGGACATAACGTGCATGGTTTGCACGTTAACCTGGTGCTAATGCATGTAGATGACAGAGTCATTGTAAACAGTCTGATGTAAGATAAATTATAATTGGTGAAAAGTAAATTAATCTACTGGTCATGAATCTCCCACAGTTAGCAGAGTCTTGGGCAGCTGCTACATTCCACAATCACACTTTGAAAAGAGGCTGCTTGATCTGAGGATTTCTTCCTATGGTGAAAATAACTTCTTCCTCTTGTCCCAGTGCAGCTTTCAATTTATTTATCTATTTTGATAATGTAACCCTGCTTTTAAGAACACTATCCAGTCTTAGACTAATATAATTCACAAATTTCTTCCCATAAGAGTGAATCCTTTATTTTTGTGATTTGCAGGGTGCAAACTAAGAATACTCTCCCTCCCTCAAAACCACAGAGGTAGTAGTTTATAAATGACTTTTCATAACTGGGTGTACTATGACCTCATGGTCAAAGATGAAATATAATATTTATTTCTCTACAATTTCCTGATGCTGTTTCCATGAAACAGCTTTCTCATGTTTCTCATTTCTAAATTTGACTTATATATGCAAATACCTTCACTCAGTTAAAAGTTAGTCAGTATAAAACAAAAACATACAAATTGTGTGTAAAGGGAAAACAAAAAGCTATAAAATGATGATTGAAATCCCTTACGGTAAACCAAAATTTAATGGATATTTATGCACTAACTACTGTGACATGAAACATTTATCAATAGTATTGACACATGCATAAAGCTTTTTTGTTTAAAAAAATATGACTTTCACTAACCATAGGACCTCCACAGTTCTCTTTACAGTCAGAAGCTGCTGAGATTTGTATTATTTTAATTAAGGAAAAATGCCAAGAGCTAAAATGAGATACTGATATAAACCCAAAATTAATTAGCTTAAATTTATGCTTAAACATAAAATGTTCATGGCAGGCTCCTATGACAAAAAATGGTCCACCTGGAAGAGATTTGGTAAAAAATGAGAGGCAACAAAATGGTTTCATAATTGTAGGTGATTCACAAATATTAATGGAAACATGTTTTGCCATGTAGATTAAAATCCAGGCATTTAACTCTTCAATAATTACTAGGCTATGGAGAAACAATGAAGAGAATGAAATTCTAGACTTTTTCCCCTTCTTCCTCTGTCTTTGTTTTCATTTTCATATGTTCAAGAAAACTCATCCAAAGGATCAAAATAAACGTTCTTCTCAGATGGCTTTGCTACAATCCAGCATCAGATGTCTGAGGGAGACAGGTAGTGGTAGATTGCACAGAGAATATCTAAGAAGGCTTTGACATGGTAGTCAAAACTCAAAGTCAAAACCTTGAGAAGTTTTCACCAAAAGCAGATTTGGTTTTCTAATTTTGTGCAAACCTTGGTAAATCTCTCAGCATACATTAATCTGCTATTGCTGCAAGTGCAGCCAAAACCCAGAAATTCTCCAGCTAATTCTGGCTGCAAGCCAAACCTCACTGTTTCCCCATTGTACTGCCCTCCCACAGAATAAAATCCTACTGGATTCCCTTAAAATAGCAAACGAACTTTGAATTCATTGAGGAAAAATCAGCTCCAACCAATGAAAGACAGGCTACCAAGTCTTCCTGGAGGTTACCCTTAGCTTAACATATGTAGCCTAAATATAATATATATTTTACCATCTTTCAAGAATGTGTATAATTGTAGACTCCAACACTGGTTTTTTTCAGATAGAGTAAGCAGAGACCAGCAGATACAGTAAGACTCAAAGGGAGGAGATTAGCAGTCATTACAGGACAGAGATAATTAAAATCTGACATATGTCAGAAGCTTCAGCTACTGAAACTGTAGCTTCCTTACTTACCTTGGTGATGAACAACTTCCATGTTGAAAGATTTGGGTGTCAGCACTCCACAATGTCAAATTGCTCAGAAAGGAGCACAGTAAAATCAATAGCAGAGTTTGTGAGCATGCAGAGATCATTTCTGTTGAGCAAGGGTAGGTCATATTAGGTGGAGTAGCTGCTTTGGTATCTCTAGGAGTGAAACAGCTCAACGTGCTTTCTGCCTTTGCTGACAGCAGTTGTGATACCATGCCAAAACTACTGTAAAGGTAATAAAGTTTGGGAAAGGGTTATCTGTGCTGCCACTGATTAGTAGATATAGAAAAAGTTTTGTCTACATAACTATCAGCAATTCATTTTTAAAAGCTTGTTAATGTCTTGTATTGTCTGTAAGTTCCCGCTCTCTTCTTATGTACTTCTTTTTCATTTCCAGAATGTTCTAACCCATGTCCTTTTAATGCATTTGTTCCATTTTACACTTCTTACTCAGTGTTAGTAAGTAACTTATCACTATTTTTAAAATTTCCCTGACTAAGACTGAAGAAAAATTATTTTGTACCAATATCTTTTCCACAGAGATTTATTTCTAGGAAAAAAAAAAAAGGAAACTCCACACTTGTCTCCTTCAAATGTTCCATAACAACAAAAGGGTGAAACCTTCAAAGATATTTTGGAAAATATTAGCTACTCTTTAGCTTTCAAGAGATCACATAACGGACACTTCATACTCAAGAGCACATGGAATAAATGTATGCATAGTTAACCTCTCAAGTACAGGGTGAACATTTGCCATGTATGTTGTGTTTTCCAGGATGAATTTATTCCTAATGATTGTACCTATATTTTGTGGTAGAAACTCATAAAAATCCACAACACAGGCACTTAATAAAGACTATTAACACAAGTTGGCAAGAGCTGGGGAAAGCAGCTGAAACAGTCCATGCTACTGACTGAGCCAGATTTCACAAAAACTTTGAACAAATCTGTAAAATATGAATAAAATCCTTAGAAGACAATTTTATCTCAAAAAAAAAAAAAAAAAAGAAAAAGAGAAAAAAAAGGCAGTGGCATTATAAGCATCCAATTTTTGTCTTGCAAACCTCATAACTTCCTAGTGTCACAAAAACATAGTTGTTTCATAATGTCAGAAGTGTTATTAAACAGAAAAAGCAGCCAAAACATCATCACATTCAGTGCACTCAAAAAAAAAAAAAAAAAAAGAGAGAGAGAGAAGAAAAAAGCTTTTGTTTCCTTCAAGCCATACAGCTCTTACATATTTTTCTTTCCAAGACAATCGCTAACGATCTGCTAATGAAGACTTTTATTATGCAAGAATGTTTACAGTCATTAACCTTCAGGCAAAGCTCATCAAACGAGTACAGACAATTACTTTACAAACACCTGTGGCACTTAAAAAAATACTTCAGTGGCACTTAACTCATCCACTTTCAAGCTGCAAACTAGTTCTACAGGTTACTTAGAATTTGACTACAAAGGAAGCCATGTGTGTGTGTTGTAGATCAGCCCTCCAAATCCTTGATTTGCTTCTGCCTCTGTACAAAATCCTGTGTAACACCACATTCCTCTCCGTGTGAATCACAGCAAGTTGCAGCTGCTAGGTTTGGGTGGATCACCTTGTTCTGTAGAAAGATCAACTGGCTGAAAGAAAAAAAAGGAAAAACTGAGTGATTTCTTGGCAGTAATTGGAAAAGTGATGTAAGGAAATGTTTCTTCATACCAGTCATGGTTAGCTGGTGGAACTCGTTGTTCCAAGATTTCATTGAGACTGGATCCCAGGGAGGCTGGGTATCTACCAGTATATTTCTAACACTTAAGAATTAGACTAGTAAAGCCCAAATATACAGATGAGAATGCTAGGAGACATAAAACACCAGACATTTCAGGAAATAACCTGTGGGTCCTGGTAGACAATATGTTCATGAGCCAGCAGTGTGCCCTTGTGCTAGAAGGCCAACGGTATCCTGGGGTGCATTAGGAAGAGCACTGCCAGCAGGTGAAGGGAGATGATCTTGCCCTTCTGCTTAGCCCTGCTGAGGCCTCATCTGGGCTGCTGTGTCCAGTTCTGGGATCCTCCGTACAAGAGAGATATGGAGGTCCTTGAGTGCACCCGGTGGAAGGCCACAAAAATGATTAAGGGACTGGAGCATCTCTCTTATGAGGAAAGGCTGAGGCAGCTGGGCCTGTTCAGCCTTGAGAAGAGATGACTGAGAGTGGACCTCACACATGTCTGTGTGTACACATAAGCATCTGCAGGGAGGGTGTCAAAAGTATGGAGCCAGGCTCTTCTTGGTGGTGCCAAGCAATAGGACAAGAAGCAACAAGCAGAAACTGATGCAAAGGAAGTTCCACCTGAATATGAGGAATTGACCACACATGACCAAACACTGGAATAGATTGTCCAGAAATGTTGCTGAGTCTGCCTCATTGGAGATTCTCAAAAATCATCTGGATGCAATTCTGTGCCATATACTCTAGGTTGACCCTGACTAGGTTGGACCCACTGTGGTCCCTTCCAAATTTACCTATTCTGTGATTCTGTGGGTATGTTTCTGGAGTGTGTTTTGGACCTTAACAACACTTCTGCAGTAGTTTATATCAAAAGTGAGCTGATGCTATCAGAGAATATCTCAAGTTGGAAGGGACTCATAAGGATTATCAAATCCAACTCACTGCTCCTTGCAGGACTACCTAAAACTAAACCATATGAGTAAGAGCATCATCCAGACACTTCTTGAACTCTGACACACTTGGGGTTGTGACTACCTCCCATCAAGTACATATCCCACCAATTTTGAGTTCTAACATCAGTTTTAATGCTATGGTGTTTAATTAGTAAACCATCTTAGTTTCCATCTTCTGTGAACAATTTATGTTTTACTCCTTATTGTCACAAAACCTTTGATCCTGATGATAACCTGATTTTGTCTGTTCTGCATGCCTGAAATAGGTCCACTGGATGTTAGAAATGGTGGAATTCATGTGGTGAACTTATGTCCTGCTTCACATTGCATTAACTAGATCCAGAAAGATCGGGGGATAAAAATCTCTTAATTTAAAATGTAATGCAATGACAATTCATGCAGAGGTATTGATCTGTGTGAGAGCAGAGTATGTTGAGAGGAATCCTTATAATCACAATGTACTATTGATGCTGCTTTCTGAAATCTGCTGTTCCTTTTAATGTTCCTGCTTTATTACATCTGTAACTGTTTGGTGTTTAACGCTGATTAAACAAATTACCATTGCATCTTCCCTGTAGGTATTTGACATGCATTCATTACTGTACTATTACAATGAAGCAACAGTTAAACCATTAGTAGAAGTGAAACTTGAAAACTGAAAAAAACTTAATATTTGGCATCAAGATACCATTCAGTCTTTGTGGTTATAACTATTCACTACACTAAAATATAGCACTGGGAGCCTTCTTCTCTCATGGTCTTGTAATATTGTTGTTGGGAACTCTTCATAATAAAAAGAGACAAGAAGCAAGCTCTGCTACAGAGCAAAGATCTACTTATTTGTATCCTTAAGGAGAGCATGGCTTATAGAGAAGCATAGTTAGTGATCCTATACTGCATTTTTTTACTCCTTCATCCCCACATACAGGTGTCCCTGAATTCCTCATTTTTAAAGGATTCTGTCTCCAAATCATCAGTATGGGTCACAGAGTTTAATATAATTTTCTAAAGTTTTAAGAAAACAAAAATATTTTCAACTCTCCTCCAGTATATCATTTAAATCTTTCTTATAATACCTGAGCATATATAATGGGAGGAAAGTTGTACAAATCAAAACCACAGAATCTAGCACTAGCAAGATTTTTTGGCAGCCTTATATAAGTAAGCCTCTGCACAAATTTATTGGCTTTAACTTCAATGCCACTGCTACAATTTCAGTGCTGTCTGGTGGTGCAGCATTCCCTATTACAGAAACATGGTACCAATAGGAAGTCATATTTACCCCAACTCACACTCTCTAAGGCCCTCAGTTTGTTAATAGATTTCTTTGAGTAGCTATCAATACTTATTTTCAGTTTAATGATTTACTTTTTAAACACCTTTATTTTTTTGTGCTTTTTGTACTTTTATCTTTTTTGTACTATTTACTTTTTGTTCTTCAGAAAGAGAAAACAAATAGTGATTTTCATGATCTGATTTTCACATGTTATCTCAGTGATTGTTTGGCAAATATTTCTTGGCTAGAAGGAGAGTAGGAGAATACCTAGACTGGTTTTCCAATAAAGTTTTATGGAAACACTGTGAAATCTGTGCATTTGGATTAATCTTCAATCTGTGTTGTGCAGTGTAGAGACATTGTCTGGCCCAGCAAGAAACTTGCCTTAGAATAGCACTTCCACTTAGCACTAGAAATTCTGTATTTGCCACTGTGAAGGATTGCTTTGTCCCAGTCTGAGAGCACAATACAAACAATACTACACACTATGAAATGGGCAGCACAGTTTGGCTAAAACAATAGCAGAAGAAAATAAAAACTGACTGATGTGTTAAATTAGAAAAGGAAATTAGGTGTAAAAAATTCTTTGGAAATATTCCAAGAATAAAAGAAGCACTATAACCCCTCTAAAATTTATTTATTCTTTAGCTAAGTGATTATTTGATACAGTTTGTATAGCATTTTTATATTGTGACTCTTGTATTACAAAAAAATGCTGGTATATAATATTTCAGAAGTATTACTGTACAGTTAATGAATACTCTAAAAATTATTTTGGAGAATGAGTTGTGTATATAATTCAGAGCGCAAATACACATTCACTTCAGTGTAGCAGAAGAAATAAAGCTTTTCAAGACTAAAACATAGCTTCTCAAGTTGCAATTTTAGAATGATTTTCTGTATATTATATGGATTCAGATTAATCTTAATTTTAAATTGGTTTGAGAACCCTTCAGTATTAATCAACAGATTTTTCCAAGTAACACATTTTTTTTCTACCTTCCTTTCTTTGAGTCCTTGAATTTAATAACATTGGGATTTCGTCCTCCAAAGATGGATCTGCTAAATAAATTAAAATGAACTAAAACACTTTAAAAAAAATGAAATGCATGAAAAATACAATCTGATAAGATCAAATGTCTGAATCTATAATCCCCAAAATAAGACAATTTGAAATTAAATAATCAACATATTCTTGAATTGCTATTCAGAAATGTTAACTTCTTTTGTTAAAAAAGTGTTTCCCCAAGCCCATAACCCGAACATGAAGTTCATATAGGAAAATATTCTAGAATAAGGCTATTATTATACAAGCCCCATAACTTCCACGGAATTTCCCTTATGAAAGGGAACTCCAGACTGGCCAGTTGGCTTTCCCGTCATCATTGCTGGTAGAGACATTCAGTGGGGTTATTACTGTGGGTAGTGCCCCATATGCTTCCTGCATTAAGAAGGTGAGGGGAGATGAACACCTGCCATGACATAACTCATAATGAAATTCACTTCACAAGGTAGAAAAGTCCTAAAAAGTGAGTGGAAAATCTCTCTACTTCTGAATTTGAAAGTGAAGTTGTAGAGGGGACTTGCAGCCAAAAACCGATCAGGTTTTGAAACGAATGACAGGGACAGTCTGCATTTTGCATTTGCAAGAATGCGGAGAAGGTTAGAAAAGAAAGAATTTGCCAGATTTTTAAAACAGGTTGGTGAGTTCTGGTTTTGCATGGCAGCACTGACAGGCCTCACCAGTTCATTGGTGCTAAGCAAACAGAAAAGTTCAAGAGTAAAAGTATGTTCCCATGCACCCCACCACAGATGGTTTGTAGACATGGCAGAATGAACTGATAATAACATAACTGTACTTAGAAGCAGGTTTTATGATGCCAAGCACCGTAAAAGAAAAAAACAAACAAACAAAACCAAACCAGAAATTACAGATCTCAACTCATTTCTATGATGAATATGTGGGACAATGCTAGGCAGTAGCTGGGAGGCATGGCAGGAGAGGGTAGGGGGATCTGCTTTCTCTGAGCATCTACTGTAACCCCTGCAGCAGTCAGGTGCTGAGCTGACTGCAGATCTGACCCACCTGTGGCTTTTCATATGTTCAAAAATGAGAAAACAACAAGGACATGTGAATTGAGTCCTCCTCTGTTTTGATTTTAGTTGGTTCATTCCACATTTCAAACAGAGCTACATGAATGATGATTTTTTGAAAACCAAACAATACTTCTACCTCTAAGCCTTTTCCAGATTTGATTTCACAGGCTGAAATTAAGACAGTGTGAAAGTGCCTGAGGTGCGCAGAATGGAAATGCTGTCAGACTTTAGTTATAGATGTGCTAGCAACCTAACTCAAATGGATTGTCACTAATTAAGCAGATGAAACAGAAAACAGAGGGAAATTAGCTCAAGTTCCGTGGTTACTTGCTGCAAATTTGTAGATGGGCTCTCTACTGTAGAGATATGTAAAATAATGCTCCTGTTAAAAGTTATGTGGAAAATAAAGGTTCTCAGCAAGCTAATTTTACTCTGTTAACAAAGCAGGGTTTCAAGCTATCCTTGTTAACCATCCACCCACTTTCTTTTCCTTCACCACCTCAGATTTGCAGATAGGAGGTACAATTACAGTCCTTTGTTTCATCCTGAGATCTCTTTACAAAACAAAGTCTGCTTTTATCCTGTGTGCTTTCCTTCATTGTGTAAAGCTAAAGGAGCCGAGGTCTAACTTTAAAGTAATCCTTTGTGTTGCTCTTTCTTGCCCCTTCCCTGCCTCTTTGTTCTATGTATAGCCTAACTGTGTGCCTTCAATTGAACTTTTCCCCTACCAAATCACACGCTTGAAGCAGGAAAAGCGAGGCTGGGGTGAAATCCTGGCCCCACTATGCTTCATGGACTTTAGTGGGTTTAGGTTTCTACTCTAGTGGTCACTGCTTTTTGAGTTGCCCCTTTTAGTCCTGTCCGAGGTGATTTTCCCCTCCTGGAAGTGCTCTGGTGGATATTTTTGGTGTAGATGGTCTGCTGCAGCAAACAGAGTGCCATAAATTTGGGTGATTTAACTGGCTTTGAGACTGGCACTTGATGCAGTAGAGGGATCATGATCTACCTCACTCTTAACATACATGTAATTTTTAAGATGACTCCAAAAGAGTGATGCTAGAAAAACTATGCAGTTGTGATTATATATGCATTTGTATTTCTTCTTATCAGCCTTTTTTTATCTTTCAGAGCATGCCAGGCAGATAGGCTTTTCCAATGTACTTCATGGGGTGTTCTGGGCATTTGTGGTAGAAGAGAATGCTGCAAAAAATAAGAAAGGGGTGTAGAAATAAAGTAAGTTATTAAAAAAACATCTGAAAAAAGACAAAATCTGTCAAGATAAGGTTGACAATAGTGGTGGGAATCTTGGTGACTGAGCCTGACTGTGAAGAGGAAGGTGTCTGCAAGATCAGTGTAGTGGGGTTACAGGGATATAAAATTTGGGATGTTAATGCTGGGCTGTTTCTCTTGGTAGACTTAGCTTACATCCCTGTGAAAGAGCTGTTTCCAAAGGAGCCATAGGAGATAGGACTGATGGCAAGCTTGTCAAAAGAGTATGTGCTTGAAGACTAAATCCTTCCACCTTCCTCTGCCAGTAGCTTCAGACTGTGCTGATTTCCAGGCCATCTCCTTCATTTCCATTACAAAAATACAAGTAAGCACACACTGAGCCCTCAAGGCAGCACATGCTTTGTGTTGAATCAAATCCACAAGGATATAGAGATTGGAATAGATATGCTTGATCAAATAGAAGGGGTCGTTTCACATTTCTGTATCTTTCCCTTGGTTCCTCAGTGAGACTCAAGACATACACCATCACAGTCCTGGGAGAAACTGCTTTTTTCCTCACTCAGTATTGGTTCCTCTCTGAAACTGAGGCATCATCTTTCTGAAATCATTGCTGTATAAATGATTTTTAAAAGGTATAAGCCTTCATACTGCTTCCAATGAGATGTGCAGGGCACTCTGAACTTATTCACAGAAAACCTGCTTCATTGTCCACAGACATAGCCATAACCTTCCTGCCATCTATACTCATCCTCAGCTGAGGAGTAGTTCAGCTGTGTTCATACTCTTTTGGTACTTTGAATTTTCCCAGAAATATTTGTCCTATTCTGTTCTCCTAACACACTAGAGAGCTGATTCTTTCATTCCAAATCTATCCATGAGATGGATACTAAAAAACACTGTAGACATCTCTGGTGTTTGCATTTTGCATAGGATGTTGAAAAATTGGAGAGGCTACAACATAGTTTGAGAGCTGGAAAAAATGTCTAAACCCCCTCAATCTGCTTAGGTTATCAAAAAGAAGACACAGTGCTGAGTTGCTCACTGTGTTTAAGTACATCTGGTGAAACGTTGTGATGTTGTAAACTCATTCAGAACAGGAGTTTCATGGGTATTGAACCAACTAGCAAATGTCAGTGAATTCAGAGTGCAATTTCAGCCAAAAGAGGAAAATCTTTCTCTTTTGGTACTTTTAAAGCTAAAGCTTATGTCTGCATTTGAAAAGATTTTAATTTAAACATTTAACTAAGAGAAAAGAGTTAGATAAAAGGGCCTACCTAATCATTTTGTATTGACCCAACCCTTTTGTTTTGTAAAGTGAATACAGGGCTGGCACATTATGTTGATAATAACCGTGCTAGTGATACAGCTTCCACTGTGTTAATTATTCTAGTGATGAAAAGAAAATCCCTGGGGAGGGTTTTGTCCTTCAAAGCTGATGTAATTTAAAAATGCAACAGGACTCTGGAACTACCTAAGTTTTCTTCTATACACAAATAACCACCTTCTTCTACCAATGAGACAGTTAGAGCATGGCCTACCCACATTTTAATCTGATAGTTTGTGTCATATACACTGAAAAGGAGAGGAAAATTTCAATTATTATTATTTTTTTATTGTTGTTGTTGTTGTTGTTTTCCAATCTTAGTTGTACTTTAAAGTTTTTCTATAAGCTTTCTATGAGAGTTTTCTGATGTTAGCAGCAACCTTTGGATGGAGTGTTCTCACACCCTCTAATATTTTTGATTTGAAGATGGTCAGCTTAATAAAAAGTATTTTCTAAAATAATTATTATAAAGATTCCTGCACATTAACCAAAATATTTCAGTTCATTTAAACTGTCTCATAGAGAGTTGTAGGGAATTCAAGAAAAATAGACATCCAGGGTGAGACTGCTGAGGCAATCAGGGAAATGGGCCCATTAGGAAGACAACTCAAACTTTTTTTTCTGAAAGGGGAATCTCATGATAAGGGTCTAGGTGAGTGAAAGAAAAAATGTGAAGTGAAAGAATACATTTTCAAAATTCTTATGAAGCAAAGTCTCCTTGTGCTTATACAGCTCTTGTACCTGCACTCAACATTTTGGAATAAGTGGTAGTATTTTTCTTCCACTCTACAGAATACCAAATTCAAAGACAATAAGATTAACAATCTCCAGCAACAATACTTACATCTGCTCCATAGGCCAGCCAGCAACTTTGGACTCCTCCAAGCTGTTCTGAAAAAGAAAGCATTTGGATAATTGGACAAAGGTGCTTGGTGGAGCTCTAAAATAATTACTACCATCCCTCATCTTTCCCAGCCCTAACTATACATTTGAACTCTATCTTTTAATCCTGCTTTTTGGCAGAACATCTTTAATCTCCTGCCCTCCATACTAAGAAAACTTCATCCGCATGTGATTTAAGTAAAAGTTACTATTTATAGCAGTTTAAAGTGGTTTATATTGTCTAAATTTTTATTATACTGTCATGATAAATTTGCAGGCTTTTTTTCCAGTGTTTTGCTTTGAATAGAGTCTCAGATATGCTCTGCTTACACTATCTAACTACTGAAGTTGGATGACTTTTTTTCTTCCAGTAACAATTATCTCTAACCCTTCATAACCTTTTTCAAAATACAATTTGAGGTCACTCAGAAACAGTTGCAAATTTGACTAACTTTTTTTTAATTTTTCCTGACAAGTGAAAAGTAAAGACAAATTTTGAAAATGAGAAGTTTCCAAATGCTTTAAATCCTATGGTTTTTTTCACAGCAAGACTAAGGTGCCTTTCATAACCCTGTTTTGCCACTGTCAGTGCACCCATAGTTAAGATGCAATATAGTAGTTTGGGTATTTCCATAAAAGACGCCCTACTCAAGCCCTCTACCTACTTCTTTTTTTGAAGTGTTTCCAGCCTCTTCTGGCAGAATGCAGTGTGATGGTTCTCACTGCCACTCTTTCTAAATTCCTATTTTATTCCTGAAATATTTAAGAAATTATTAATTAATGTTACTTTGATTAGTGAGAGAAGAAATAAGAATTGCACTGTATATTCTGGTTCTGTGGTCATACAGAAAAAGCAATTATTTGTACAGCTTGCTATACTCACATCCTAAATATCTGGGTGATGATTTCCTGGATACTTTATGTTGACTTAATAAAGAAATTTGATGCTGTGTTTTGGGTAAGGGAAGGTCTAAAAACTGGCTGGATTAGTCACTTGCCTTAAGACTGCTTACTTCTTAGTGGCCATTCCATAGGATAAGCTGTTTTCTTAATGACTGTTTCATTTTGGCTTAATTCCATGATTGTTGTGGTAGAATGAATTATCAGATGTAGGAAAAAGCCAAAGCCTCTGCATTTAATTAATCATTAACCCCCTCAGTGTTTGCAGGGAGCTGTAGCAGGAGTGGGGACAAGGCTCTAAGGTGTGACTCACAGTAGAGCAAGAAGTTTTCAGGAGTTTCTAAAGTATCAAGGAAGGTCTCTTCTAATGTGAGATTGACAGAGTGCAGGGTACATTAAAGAATCCTCCTATTCTGATCAACTCTTGCTGTGCCCAGTTTTGTGCTTCACACTTCAGGAAAACAATGTTGTTCAAGTAAGAAAGCAACAGCAAAGTGAGATCTTGAAGATGTGGTTTATCTGAAAAGAACGAATGAATAATGTTAGATTTTAAGAAGTGTACCTAGGGGGACAATCTGAAATAAACAGGAAGAAAAAGATTTGATTTCTTGGTCAGTGAAGCACTGGTCAAGAAGTATTAGGTAGAAACTACAGTATGGAAGGTACAAGTTACCAACAAAAAATCTTTCCAGTGATTAAGAAGTGAGGAACATATTCCTGTATAAGTGATAGGAGAGACACACCTCAAAACAAGCTAGGGTTGAGCCTCCACCACTATCCTGTCTTCTACCATATGTGTTCTGAATCAAGGAAATTTAAGTTTTGATCATCCTCCTCCAGATGAATACTTGAAACCTTAGACCAGTGGTTTCCAAACTGGAAGATAAGACATGATCCCAATGAGTATGCGCAACAAAGTCCAAACTAATGACATCTATTTCTGCAGGACAGTATCAATATTGGTCTTGTGACTGGTCTGAATGGGAGGAGGCTAACAAGCCAGACCCAGTAATGTGTAGGATGGGGCTGATTTACTTTCCTGATAATAAGTAATATAAATGCTGGTTCTAGTTAAGTTACTCACTCAACTGTTAGTTGCTTGTGTTCCGGTCCCTGATCTAGAGCATAAAATAACAACATTTCAACAGAAGAAGCTTAGTCTGCCTACTTGCTCCCAGAAGGATTCTAACTTTCAAGCCCTTTTTCAAAGATGAGGGTTAAAATACTTGAACCCAGAAAATTCATTAGCTACTGCCTGGATTAGTACTTTAACCCTTGAACTGCTGGATAAAAAGAACAGACAAAGGCTCTTCACACCAGATATTTTGTGAAAAATTCGGCTTGAAGAAAATCAAATGAAGCTATTATATAAATTCAGCAGGATTTTTGTATACTTTTAGGGTGACTGAAGCAGAATGTTCCAAGGGAAAATCCCCCACCTTCTTACTTAATAAACTGTTGCTAAGATGTTCATTTTAGCACTTTTGATATTAAACTGTTAACACATTTAGGCATACAAAGTTATATTTAATGTTTCAACGTGATCTTTTGTGAATGTAATACCTTCACTCTTTTCTGGAAAGATATGACCTGACAACAGCCGTTACTCTTATAAGAACAATGTCATAAGTATTGTTTAGATATTTGCTGCTGTTTTAAATGTCTTCAGGAGACCAGTGGACAGTGCTTCTCTACAGTTTATTTTATGAAGGGAGCAAAAAGTTAACTCTGTCACAATCCTAGAAGATAAGAAATTAAATAGACATACTGTTTTATAATTAGAACACAATATATGCAAATACCTCTTTTCCATTCTGCCCTCTGGTATTAAAATGCAACCAACTGCAGACTTAATTATTTTTAATATGATGATTCTTTTCCTTTTTTGTCCATTTATTAAAGTACCAGAGTATTACAACAGTCTCTCACTCTTTATGATTTATAAGAACATGGTAAATTTATACCCCCACCCTATTTGTTGCTTAGCTGTTTGGAGAGCAACTGTTTGTACAGCCAAATTTAAGAACTAGTAAATGGATTATTGGTTCCAACATTTAGAACCTACACATCCCTCAAACAGCCCAAACAGGTACCCATCCACTCTTTAATTCCCCACTGCCCAAAGCAGAGAATGATTGTTTTCTGGGCCATGGATCTGACTACTGCCCAAATTTTTTTTTTTTGTTTTCCCTTGTCTCATCAATTATGGGACTGAAAACCAGCATGGTGAGGAAGTGAGCCCACCACGGTAAAAAAAGAAACACAATAAGCAATACAAGTGCAAGTTTGGAAAAAAAAGTATGCAAAATAGAAACAAAAGAATATTTTTGGTATTTTCTCCTTCTGTGTTAGCATTTGTTGCTGTCACTTCTCATTTCAAGAAAGAAGTTTTCCCAGTTTAAGCTACTTTTTAATATTAAAATAAAGCAAAACTGGCACAAGTAAAGAGCTCTATGTGCAGTTTTTAATCAGGAAAACCTCATAAGAACCTCAAGAGTACATGAAAGGCTGTTGAAGTCTGTAGCTGTGACAGTGCTTGTGGGACAGTCTGGAACAGCAGGAAGGAAAGTGTGAGCCAAGAAACCTGAAAAATAGTCCAAATACTATAATAACGTCCTTCTTTTAATAAAGTGGGTTTAATTTTCATAATATATTACTATTCGGTTTTTTTCTTGGGGACCCATGTTTATTAGAGAGCATTCCTTGAAGCTGTCAGTCTATGGGATTCCCCTAAACTCCCTTAACATGCAGCTTTAGCGGTTTTCCTCTGTTTTGAGAGAGTACATTAATAACCACACACTACTGTAAGCATTAAATAGGCCACCCACCCTCTGACAAGCACAGTTCACATTTCTATCCACACTTAATGGCAGCTAGCCTAATGGGAATGATGTCAAGGGGTGCAATGAAACACTCTGTGTGTCTCAACTCCTGTCTTGGGGAGGATCTTGTCCTGTTTGACAGCTATGTGTTCAGTCAGGGAATATAAGGAGCTGATTTAGTGCTGATGAGAAAGGAATGGTGCCACCCGCTGTATTATCAGCAGAACTGGTGTTCAGCCTGTGCTGTTGCCCTTTGGTCATGTCTGCACACATACAACCTGTAAGATATTCTAATTACTCATAGCTCTCAAGTTTACCACTTACACATGCAGCACAACCACAACCTGTGAGTAAGATCTGCAGAGGCAGGAGTCTCATTTTCCGGTTGACTCCAGACTATTCATGCTTGCTCTCATAACTCTCTATCCTTCCCATCTGCCTCTGGCCAACTCTGTTGGGTCTGTCCAGGAGCAGATATGTGGGCACAAATGAGGTTTTTGAGGAAGTGCATGTGTGTGCTTTTGTGGATGTGCAATTTTTATTACAAGTAGGGGTGGTAGCTCTATTTATTTAAAGTTTCCTGGTACTTTCCATTGCAAAACCCACTTTCCAGTTGCTGAAATTAAACTATATGATCCAAAATGTTTCAAGTCAACACCTCACCTCAGATTCAAAAGTTTGTAAGGGGTACGTGCCCCTTACATTTATTTGAAGTTCTCAGGCAGGCCCCTTCAGTAGTTTCCTGAAAGTTAAGGACACCAATATTTTGCTTTACAAGCAGTACTTTTCCCACATTAAAAAGCACAGCTTTCTGGTGAGAACTTATGCCTTCACAGTAGCAGGCATGACTGCCAGCTTGGTAGCTAGCATATTGGCAGCTGCTGGTCTAGAGGAATGTTCTTTCAGTGATAATGTGTTCAAATATTGCTGAAATTTAAGCCAACACCTCAGAAATTGCAACTTGCCCTGTAACTGCAACGTCATTTGCTGTTGCTGCAGCCACCTGAAGGAACATGAACTCGTTGTAAGGTGCGCTCTAGTGTCTCTTGATTGACAGGGCTCCAGACTTACTGCTGTCAAAACTCCTGTGGCTGGTACCCATCCTGCAACTCTTTAGGACACACCTCAAAATGCTGGTGGCCATTTTTCAGTGATCTAAGAGGGCCAGGGACCATCCTCTAGATCTGACATGTGATGACTTGGCTGCATCCACACTACATAGCACTCAGTCTAGGGTCCCCAGATATGTGCAATATATATCTGTGCACCTAATGGAAAAAGTTATACCAAAATTACCACACTGAGCTGGCTCACTCTGCTGCACTGAATTCACTACTCTTCCTCATCTGCCCACACATAGTAGCCATTCGTTTGATGTTTCTCAGCATTCAAAAGCCCAAACAGCTACTTCTCTGACCAGAACAGCAGACAGATGGGCTTTGCAAATCCCTCTAGGACAAAGATTCTGTGTGGAAGAAAAAAATTAAGGTATTTACTGCAAAACTCAGACATTCAGGAATCATATATTCAGTCAGATTTGTGAAGAGGGTAAAACCAAAGCACCTCAGAAGGATCAAAAGGCGTCCATCACACCAGACAGAATAGTCCATCCTTACGAAAGGCAACTCTTCTCTATCCAGAATCCAACACTTCTCTCTGCTATCATGCTGCTATCAGCAAATGCTAACAGGGTGACCTATTCCTTCTAGTGATAATCAACAAAGAAGACCACTCTAAGTGTGATATCAAGTTACTTCATTTGTTCAAGTGGAAGAAATTTTGTCTGGTGTAGTGGAAGATCAAAGGGCTGTTAAATCAGGTTTCTCTTCTCTTTTACTCTTTTATCTTCAGTTTCTTTTTTTTTTTTTTTTTTAAATTTCCTTTAAAATGAAACCCCCAGACCTTCTTCATACATAAAAGAATTGTAATCCAATACTGTATTCAGATATTCAGAATTTAGGAAATTCCAGAACAAAAGGCATTTCTATCCTGTTAGCATTTATATGAAATATGTGATTTTATAAGACATAA